CGCGCGCGCCCTCGCCGCGGGCGAGGTCAGGGGCGAGCCCCAGCCGCGGCGCGGCGCGCGCGTCGGCCTCGCGGAGCGCGCCGGCGAGCGTCAGCGCGGGGGGCTGCGCGAGGGGCGCAGGGGCGGGCGAGAGCCGCGCGCGCACATGGATGAGATCGCCCAACTGCTGCTGCTGTTGCTGCCGGTCGGGTGTGCTCGGCTGCGCCTGATTTGCTCGCGCTGCATCGCTTTGCAAGAGCCGCCGCGCGGCTGGCCGCCCTTCGCTCGGGCCGTCAGACGCGGCCACCTTCTGCTCCTGCTGCTGCTGCTGCTGCTGCTGCTGCTGCTGTTGTGCAGGTGATGCCAGCGGCGCCGGCCGGCTCCGCAGCGCCGCTGGCGCGTCCCTGCCCGGCCCAATGTGCACGACCAAGCAGCCGCGCTCCCGCAGCGCCCACGCCAGCGACGCATCAAAATCACCGCCGCCACCGCCACCACCCTCATCCCCCTCTCCCTCCTCCCCCTCCGCTTCATCCTCCTCCGCTTCCTCCTCCTCCCCGCCGCCGCTGCCGTCGCGGTTCTGGCGGCCCGACGGGCTGCCGGTTATGATGACCGCCGCGCAGCCGCCGCCAGCTGTCGCGTCCTCCAGCAGCTCGTCGCACAGAAACGGCTCGGGGCCGCCGCGCCACGCCGGCCGCGGGGCGGGCGGCGGCGGCGGCCGCAGCTGGCCCTGCTGGGCGCCGGCGGCGGCGCCCTCTTGCGCGCCTTGGATGTCCTGCTGCTGCTGCTGCTGCTGCTGCTGCTGCTGCTGCTGCTGCTGCTGCTGCTGCTGCTGCTGCTGCTGCTGCTGCTGCTGCTGCTGCTCGCCGCCGCCAGCGGCCGATGGCGCCCCTGGGCCCTGCTGCTGCCCCTGCTGCTGCCCCTGCTGCTGCAGACGCCGGCTTTGGCTGCGCGGCGGCCCCCTAGACGCGCACCGATACTCCAGGAAAGCGTCGGGGTCCGACATGAAGCGCGCCGCCTCGCGCGCAGACGCGGCCATGCCCGCTGCCATCGCCCTGCCCTTGTCCCCGAACCAGCTGCTGCCATAGTGGTGCCAACCAACCACCCCGAGCGCCGGCGGCTGCGGCTGCGACGGCGCCGGCTGGGCGCTGGCAGCTGCTGCGGGGCCCGCGGGTTGCAAGGCCCAGGCGGTGTGGGGCCCGCCGGGGGCCGCGGCCAGGCGCTCGGCCTCTGCGCGGCGCGCGTAGACGCGGCGGCGCCGCCACTCGCTGCGCGGGGGTTGGATTGTGTGGGTTGCCATGTGTGGGTGGTGCGAACAAAAGTGTGGCGTTGACGGCACGGCGTTGACGGCACAGCTGTCGGTCGCTGGGCAGCGACGGCGACGCTGAAATTCGTGGCTGCAGCCAATCAAGGCAGCGCACGCTGCTGGCAATGCAGCACTGGCACACACATACATGCAAGCGCTGTTTTGCGGCCCCCGAAACAGAGCTGAGCCGCAGCGGGCTGGCTGCCCTTGCACCCACATGCGGGCAGGCCCCTGGCAAAACCCAAGAAAATCAAAGCACACATGTCGAGAAGCACAGATTGCTCACACACAAGTGAGCGCGTGTGTGCACATGCATGGACAAACACACACACACACACACACACACACACACACACACACACACAAACAAACACACACACACGCACGCACGCGCGCACGGGGGCGTGCAGCCGCCTCACATGTCGCAGGCTACGTCAGTGGGCCCGCACGGCGTGAACCAGCTGCCCACTGGGTAGGCCGCCACCCTCACACCATGCGCCTCCAGCGGCGCCCCGCAGAACCGCGCGCCGTCGCCCTGCAGCCCCAGGAAGCGCCGCAGCACGTCGCCCACCATCCAGGGGCCCGTGGTGGCCAGGACGCGCACAAAGCCTGCAGGGTTGTTGCGGCCGAGTCGGTAAGTTTCGGCGGGGGGTGGCTCTTTAAGGCTGGGTGACTGGGCGGCGTGGCGCGGTGTATTTCAGGGTTGAGCACATGGGCCGCGGGCCGCGCCGCTGCCCCTTCCCCCACAACCCCCCTCCCCTTGTGTGCCAAGTATTGCCAAGGCGTTCCAGGTTTGTCCCTGCAGCAGCAGCGGCTCCCGATACACAAGCCAATTCTCAGAACCCACACACCTCAACCTCCCCAAGAGAGGCAGCGCAACAATCGGGCCTCTCAGCAACGGCGCCCCCGCGCGCCCCCACCTCATGCACCCCACCGCTTCCCACAACACCGCCCCCGGCGCCCCCGCGGCTGCACATACACCACACCGTCCCCGGCGCGCGGCGCCGCCGTCCAACGCGTCTCGTGCGGCCGTCGCCCCCTCACCGTTTTCGTGCTGGGCGTACGCTGGGTCGCCCGCGCGCCGCAGCGCCTCCCGCATGACCTCCAGCCAAAACGGGTTTTGGGGCGTGCTTGCCACCACCGCATTGCCTGCACAAGCGGCGGCGGGGGCGGGCGCGAAGGAAGCAGGGGCTTTGCTCAGGAGCGGCCGGCGGCCAGCGGCCGGCGGCGGCATGTTCTGAGCAGGTGCGTTGGGGCTGCCCCTGTCCCACCCCCTTCACCGTTGTGCTCCAAACCTCTAAACTCAACCAACAATGAGCCTCGATTTGCAACTGCACAAACCCTCTCACACACGGGGCGACTGAACATCCACACCCTCCCACGTGACCATCCCACCTGACC